AGAGTTGGCAAAAATTAAAAACGGTACGTAGTTCCGCTGCGCTTAGGGTTTAATTCATAGATAGTCCGTGACTTGCATAATGTCGAGATCCTCACAGATCCCAACAAGTGGTATCAGAGCACTTGGCTTAATTCAATTTTGTGCAATGTTCGGACTTTAGAGGCTTATGTGAATTATGTGCGTACGAGTGCAACTATATTAATATTCCACAAATATTTGTGGAATATTATTGCATAACTTGATTTTGCAGGATAATGTGTTTCCACTGTTATGGCCTTGAATGTGTGCTTGTTTAGTCATTGCACGTATTTAAAGTCTAGGACATTTTGAGGAATTTTTGGTTATAAATGTTTATAATAATTATTCTGTCATGTGGGACACTGGATAGATTTAATTATTTTTGTAGATGTAAATGTAAACCCATCCGTGGGTCTAGGATCGAATTATGTAAATGTCGTAATTTATATTTTGATCGTGTTAAAGGCGGATGAACCCGGACGACCATGGCGACCGGAGATCAACGAGACCACGGACCTCGACGACCCGATCGACCATGGACCACCGCGAGACCACGACCAGTCGCACGAGTATGCACGGAACACGGCGGCTCGGCTGCCAGGATAAAAAGGTAGTCATCTTTGGCCTCCCTGTAAGTGGATTGAACTCGTTCGCTTGGAATTTTCACCAAGTGTGTTTGTATTTGTGTGTGTCAGAGTTGATGATGCTCTTGAATGTGAATTTCACAGATTTTTCTTATTTTTATAATGAATCTGCAATTTAGCTTTCTACGAGGAATTGGGTTTCTGTTTCTTTTATAGTTCTTTAAAATTGAGACAGTATCAAACATTGTCAAATCGGGGGCAATACGAGTGCGGTCCCACACAAGTGAAGCGCACCATAAGAGGGTTAGCCCAAATGAAGCCCAAGTGAGGTTCGATCCCAAAACCAATTGGTGATAGGAGGAGTAGCCCACTAGACTTATAAACTAGGCTCATTTACCCTATCAAATTAATGTGGGACAACTCACAAGTGCTATTCCCAACAAACATCACTAGCAAACATCATTTTTTGAGTTGATTAATTTTTATGAGAAATAGGTAACTATATTAATGTAATTTTGTGTGTTATCTTTTTAGCAAATCTGTTTTCTTATACCTGTTTGCAAAACTGTTACTTTGTGGTGTTATTTTTGTCACAGGTGGTCGGCCACTGGAGTAGCTGGACGACAAAAAAATTTAATTTTGGTTCGTTTACTTTTCTAATTTTTTTTTGGTGTACTAGTTTTCCATCATCACTAATAGTATGTTATGCT